AACATGGTATGCTGAGCCAGTGACAGGTATACTTTAATCACCCAGAACAGAGAGAAGTGCTATAAAGAGAAGATATTGTACAGTCAGATTAGAAAATAAATAGTCTTAACAGTTTCAAAGATATTTTCATTTTCTGTGTAGCTTGTTTTATGAAGCTTCACGTGAAACCGATTCCAGTCATTCCTCTGTCATCTCCCGGATTTCTTGTTGGTTTACATAACCATACAAATCGTATCCCAAACGTCAGTGAAAGCTTCTCAAACATATAATTTTCAGTGATCGAATGAAACATCTAGAAAAACACAAAATATTTAAGCCGTTGTTTCAGTAGTCACCATTTACCATTTAATGTCATGAGACTGTATTTCTCAAAGGCGTTCGACACTGTCCACCACTAGAGAATTATGAGATCACAGGACACATTCATTCATGGCTACATGTTTCCAACATCGTTCGTGACACAGGAAATGTGCGTGGAGCTGAAAGGGGAATACCCTGACGAAGTTGTTTTTGATTCTGGAGCAGCACAGACACAGTTCTAGGCCCCATAAGCTTTCTGTGTGCGGATACTAATGTTTAGACGAAGATTGATGCAGTTATTAGGTTCGTTCTGTTTAATGAGTACAATGTATATAAAATATTGAAATGCAGATGTTAGGATTTTATGTAGATAACAAATCGCTGAGGATAAGAAAACCAACTTAAGCTGTTTCAAGTTCTGAGGCTTCGTTCAGCTCTGTAGCATTTTACTTTACTGAAGATTTATCAACCGCAAAAAGGCGTAGAGAGGAAGCTTCTTGTATTGCTTTCGGTGAACTTATAAGTTTAATAGTATCTATAATAAATTGTCTTATCTTTGGTATATGAATCTAAGTAAAACTCTCTTTTTTTCGGAATTTTTCATATTCTGCATTTGATTTGCTCCATTTTTTTTTATTGTTTTTTCACAGCAAATAATGTTGGATTTTTAATCAGTACAGGCTTTTTCATGTGATCATCACGTTTAAAATAGTATGTATCATAGGTGCGATGTTTTTAAAAACTTTTTGTATTTCAGGCCTAGATGCCTCTTTCCTTTAGTATTTTTTATCACAAGAATGAGACGAAGTGTTGAGGTTGCTCAATTCGTTAATTCCACTTTATTTGTTTTATGCATTGTAACTACCAGGTAGAACGCGTTTTACAAGATTATTACTATGTGTTCAAGAAACATCTTAAGCACTGGGTTGGAATTTCATTTGATCAAATCGCATTATCCTCAAAATGGCAAGTACCACGGTCCCAGGGGCCGGAACAAAGGGCATGTAAGAATAAAACTATATGTCGCTCAGTGTCAGTGAATGTATACCAATCTACGTCTTAGCCTGTGTTGATTATACATTGTCTGTACATGTTCACAAATACAGTCCGCCTGGTTGATCTGTTCTATCAGCGAACCCTATTCATTGTGCTGACAGGAGACTTGTCGCTGTCTAGTGTTCGCCAGAATACATAACAAGCGATGGCCAGCTTCCCATTATCTCCTGCACGTGATAAGCACATTTTTGTACAACCGTCAGGCTGCATTATCCTAAACAATTCGTTCATGTACAAAAGTAGTGTGACATCTAACAGGATACACATAAAAGAAGACTTAAGATACCTATATATCTTTTTAAATATATCATATCAATCTTGTGTCAATGTATCCTTGGATAGAGACTATGAAGTTTAATGCAACTTGCAAGTATGCAAATATGTAAGGTACACCTTTGATTTTATATAAGTATGTGTTTTATATGAAAAATATGCAGAATATTTTTTAACATCATGATATCTTACAAATCTGATTCAAAATAAATTACATTAAAAAACATTTGGGATTTTATGACTAGAAACAGTTGTGATTATTTAAGAAAACGAGATAAAAAATATGTTGAAGGATATGGACTTGTTCAGCAAATAACATTTATATATAAATAATGTATAGAAGCGAGCGACATGTTGAAAACACTGTACGGTTGTCAGGAGCTCATTATAATCACCAGATAAACAAGGAGTTGAGTACATTTAAGTCAGTCTTTATTGATGTTCTTGATCAATAATTACATCATTTATACTACATCATTAAAACCAATTCAATCATCTTAGAAATCAGCATTGCAGGTACTGGTAACTCTATGCATGCATTGAAAAAAAATGATCGGATACAGACGCATGTCTTTTCTGAAAAACAAACCTTCGACAGTTAATTATTGTTTCGATTCTCTGTTTAATCACCAATGCGTGTTTATCCTACAGGACATTGGCATGTCTGTGAGATGACAATGGATGAGAATTAATGAAACAGCAAAATATGTCCAATTCTGTTGTAATGATGCATCGTTAATTTTACACCAATAAAAACATTCGACAAACATGCTTCATTTATCTGATCACATGCTTTGTAACCAGTCGTTTACATACAATCCCATGTCAGTTCTGAAATCGAGTCATTTTAGTGCTATAAGTTGAGGACAGTTAATCCTTCTTTAGATTTGCTTTTAATTCACAAATGCATGCGACCGGAAATTGACATGTCTACTAGGCTGAGATAGATTACAGGTAAAGAAACATTAAATATGTCCATTTCTGTTGCAAAGATTATTTTTACACGAGAAAGTGTATTTAGCAGTTTTGTGTCATTTATGAAATAGAGTATATTTTGTGCTTAAAGTTCATGACAGTTGATGTCTCTTTCGATATGCAAATGTGCGCTTATCACACGACAGCAAATTGGCGTGTCAACTAGGCGGAGATGGGTTAGAATTTATGGAGCAACTCAATATGTCCATTTCTGTTGCCATGATAAATCCGATTGAATGATAATTTTAAAGATCGCAAAAGTTAAGACATGACATATCTAGAACAGGGCTTTTGTTTAGACACATTTAAAAATCAATAATACAGAAAATGCAGTGTTTGGGGAGGAACTAACGTGATAAGTCGAGAAAGCCATATGGTCAAACCGTATAAATGGATGATGTAGCCAGCAAACTTAATGATAAGAGTAGCTAAGGTTCAAAAGTCAAATAGTTCGTCTATGAAGCATTGGCCTTGTCTTGTCAATGGACAAAACACACACATTTGTTTTGATCTCGTTCTAAATAAAACGAGAAAAGTCTGCATAGTTGACACACTTTCTCTGTATGTACATAACACTTCAAACAGAATGACATTTTAATTAATCACCTACCGGACGGATAGAATACAATGAAAAAACACACGCGGACTAAAAATCAGTCAACATATTAGTTTGTATATCTCTAATAATGGGGAACGTTATCATACCTACCACACACTCACTGGGGCCTATCCTAGTGATCTCCGGTTATCTAGGTTTAAGCGCGTGCTTTCCAAAGCCTCGGATGGGTGTTCATATCTAAACTTCAACGAATCATCTTAATGTGCCAAAGTTAACAGTCACTATGGTCAACGTCATATGTACTAGAAAAGCGTAAAGACACGAAATATGCCAAGCCCTCACTAAGGTTGAGCTAGCGAACACTCTCGCTCACTTCTAAAACATTCTTTCACTGACTGTCACCAGCCGAGGTACAGTACACTTAAAACGGTTCATACGCTCAACGTTTACAACAGTTTTAGATTAAATCATTCTTTCGTTGAAAGAACGTACCATTTACAGAATACATATATTGAGTTTAAGTACCTTTGTCCAGTTGTCTGAATATTCTTAGTATTCTCTAACACTTGTCTGCTTGTGTCGGGTCAAGCTATTTTAAACAATATCCTGATATGTTTTTACATGTAAGAAAACATTCGCAGCCGAAATTTGTCCAATCCTTTAACTTTGCACAAACTATGTTTTTTGTTCCTTATCATCATTATTGTTGCTATTATTATTATTGTTTGTTTCACTTTTTTTTCTTTTTCGTTTTTGTTTTTGTGATATAAATTATTTGTGTATCCAATTGAATAGCACAGTAACAGAGAAATTCAACCGTCAATTTCGTTTTTTGTCGACGGCTTTCGTAGTATTCCTGGTAAAATGTCACCTTTTGTCTTCCCGGTGGGGACCTAATCACTGTAACGCCACCTGGCGTCGGCTTGAGTCATGGCTCTGTAAATACGCACCATTAAGAAACAGAGGATGAAACTCCCACATCAGTGATTACAGTTTGATTCTACGTACGAAAATGTGACATCAGTGTCATCTATTGTTATTGTATCATTAGGTACGACTACTACGTCACTACCCAGAATGTATTTATGCTTTGTTATCGAATAGGTGTGACACTGCCACCTGGTGTTGATATAAAATGTCAAAACCTCAACAGTATTTTGATTAAAAAAAGGTGTTATAGAAATTCTGTACAGCTTTCTTTCAATGTGTATATTACTTATCATCAGCACCACAGTTGTAACAAATCGACCAAAAACAATCACCACTTCTTTCACTTAACGGGGGCACATTGTACAATGGAAGTCAGTGACCCATACCTCAATCCTGTAACAAGCTCGAGAGTCATTCTGTAAGACGGTAACCGATAGCATACTTCAGTATTTTACCCAATCAGCAGTGCCACGTTTAAACCGATGGCAGTTAATTATGTAAATAACAAATTACTTCACAGCTAAATCAAACTCGTAAAACCATCTTCAACAGTGGCATCTAGCTCATAGTGGTACCACGTGACATAGTGCCACATCGCACGTTGGTACCACGTGACATATGCCACCATACTGTATCTCACATTGTCTCATCTTTAAAATAACCATTGGTTAATATCAATACCGCATGCACCTTGTTATGCAATCTCGGTAAAAAGTGGAGTGTCTTGGCACTGACTGACAGCCCTTGATGAAACATTCTCTGATGATAATCAGGTCTCATTATAGCCAACTATTTCCGGGTCCGAGTGCTCTCTTGTGACAGGTAACCATGTCATCCAAACAGAGTTCGTCGGCACATCTTCTGGCAACATCTAGTTGGATTGAAATAGCACATCAGCGCCACCTGGCTAATGGAACAAGAAAGAGTATACGAGCGCTAAAGCGCTTGTCATCACTAGCAAGTTGTCCAACGATGGATTGTTTCCCTTGTTACAGAGATTTGTGGAACAAAAACAGTAGAGGGCGGTGAACCCGATCTCGTTAGTCCATTCCCTGCAACCATCCGTCTCATTAAGGCCATACAGTGTCCCCATCTCATAGCAAACTCTGGCAATCCCGACATATCCATCTACAACAACAACAACAACAAAACTATCAATAAACTATCAATAAACTATCGATAAACTATCGATAAACTATCAATAAACTATCAATAAACTATCGATAAACTATCAATAAACTATCAATAAACTATCGATAAACTATCAATAAACTATCGATAAACTATCAATAAACTATCAATAAACTATCAATAAACTATCGATAAACTATCAATAAACTATCAATAAACTATCGATAAACTATCAATAAACTATCGATAAACTATCGATAAACTATCAATAAACTATCAATAAACTATCGATAACCTATCAATAAACTATCAATAAACTATCGATAAACTATCAATAAACTATCAATAAACTATCAATAAACTATCAATAAACTATCAATAAACTATCAATAAACTATCAATAAACTAATCACGACATTGCCATTTTTATCACGTGGTCTTTGTGGTCCTTACATCCCGAGCTTAAATGTACTTATATTTTAAGACACTGACCACGTATTTTATTCATCCTGCAACACTTAATTAAAATTCTTACTGTCGAAATTCCAACACGTCTATGTTACGTCTATTCAATGTTTGTTTACCTAGCGTTGACGTTACGCTGAATTGTGCCTGACGACGCATATCAAATTAATTACTCCACGCGGAAATGTAGTTCGAACTTCACAGATATAAAAAGCAATTCAATTAATTATCGTAAACAGACTAAATTGTTACAGCAGATAAAATCGTTTATTTAAAGAGTTATTCATATTTTCTGCAGAATTAATGTATGTGCTAATATATACAGCTGATTACAGCGAAAAATATATATTTATGGTAGGTGTATTTCGACAATGGCAGTTCCAGTTGCAGGATGAATAGAGAATGCTTTGTCAGTGTCTACAGATGTAAGCCGTATTTTGGCGAGTGTGAAGAAATCCAAACGGGCGATCCTCTGGCGTTTTGTTTTTCAAGTTTTGTTTAAATAACTTTGACGTTACGCTGAATTTTGTCTGATGTACGTCAAAATAATTAGCAGGTGTATTCCGACAATGGCGGTAAAAGTTTCAGGATAAATCGATATATATTAATCGCACCCTCCATGTGATTATCACATGTGTCCATACGTGTATCACGACAGACATACGTGTATCCAACAGACATACCTGTATCACGACAGACATACCTGTATCACAACAGACATACGTGTATCACGACAGACATACGTGTATCACGACAGATACACCTATAACAGACATGTACCAAACTTAACGTTGTCCCATATTTATCACGATCTTTAAAAGCAGCGAAATACAGAACTCTTAAAATCATTTAAGATTGGTAGTAATTGAAATTCAGTGTCCACCTTTCTTGTCACAGTGTCTTTCGTACTTTCACAAATATGTTACCGGATATCAACGATAATTAATTAAGGACATTTAACAGCTATGATGAATTATAGTTTTGAAAAAATGTATAAAATCTTTTGATTTTACAGAGAAAGTATGCAATTTTAAACCTACAAGGTAGGAACTGGCAGAATCAATTAATTTTCTTTTATTTCAGATCTAAAGTCTATAATTACAATAGTGTGTTTAATCATTAAATAAATCGATACTGGATCGCACATGATTACTGACAGATAAAATCTTTGCTGCGATGAAATCTTATAATTTGATATTCAATATGCCCATAAAAAAGACCTTTAAGTTATGTTATTGCTTACAAGAATATGGATTTCTAAATGCATTGCACTGACTTGCATGTACGAACGAAACGTCTTGGTTAACTAGAAACCTTATGCTTTTTTCTTATATTGTCTCTCATGAGATAACCCACGAAACGCACTCAGTTATACAGTCGCTGAATCACAATGCTGTAAATTGGATAAGAAATTAATAAATGATATCTGTGCGATTAATTTTTGATTTTCTCCTTGTTTGGCTTTCAGCGATTACGTCATCATTTACATTCTTCCGTATAATATATATTACATTTCTGAGTCTAAATGTGTAGGCGTTATATTTAAAATCCAAGTTTTCACAATTTTTACTGTTCTTAAATCATTTTAATCACTTCAGTTTAATTCCGTTGAAATACATTGCTATGTTATAATGATATACTTTGTAACATTATTGTTCTCAAATATATGTACTTTTACTAGTCAAACGAATCGGTCTGAGAGGCTCACTCTTTGACATATTGCAAATTGTATACAAGTTGGTGGCAAAGAGCTAGTTTTCAAAACATTCTAAAAATTGCTGCTATTTTGTTACAACAATATCACCTGCTCTCTCCAATACACTCCAATATAAAACCCCTGCGTGAAATCACACAAACTGAAACAGTAAAACGATTCCGCCATTCTTGTTTATTGCATTTTGAATTGTATTTGGTTAACGTCAAACGGGATACTCATTATACCCATTGGTGATATATATTTGCGGCGAAGAGAAAATGCAATATTTTTCACTGTTATACTACGGAATTTTCATAATAAATAATAGAATGGTGTCTTTCGATGTATAGCCAGACAAAAGATCAGCATCAATATGCTTGTCATAATTGGGCGATAGGAAAAATGCGTAATTGAACAAGATATGAACTAAACGGACACAAACTGTACTGCAGTTTGTTGTAATTTTGTATCAAAATTATCGGTCCTTTTTAGAGCACATATACTCAATTGGTTTCTATTTTGTTAAATTTCTTATCTAATATCTCTAATGTAAAATTTTTAAGAGTAAAAAACACGGATATGTGCTGATGATATTTAGTGATGAAAAAACTTGAGTGAAACTGTTTCTATTCGACTGACGCTCCAAGATCGTAAAAGATAAAAGATTGAAAGTAGGAAGGGGAGTGTTTATCAAAATATAACAATCATGCGACTGTAAATGAAATAGAAATTAGTCCTCAAATGAAATAAAAAGAATTATAGATGAATAAGGATTCGATTTGAAAACATTTCCGAATGAAAGTTTTCCTAATGATCCTTAAACAACCTATTTGTATATGGTTTCACGACCTAGTCAATTACAACATATTTGTAAATGGTTTCACGGCCAATTCCAACATATAAGTACATGGTTTCACGACCAATTACAACATATAAGTACATGGTTTCACGACCAATTACAACATATTTGTACATGGTTTCACGACCAATTACAACATATTTGTACATGGTTTCACGACCAATTACAACATATTTGTACATGGTTTCACGACCAATTACAACATATTTGTACATGGTTTCACGACCAATTACAACATATTTGTACATGGTTTCACGACCAATTACAGCATATAAGTTCATGGTTTCACGACCAATTACAACATATTTGTACATGATTTCACGACCAATTACAGCATATAAGTACATGGTTTCACGGCCAATTACAACATATTTGTAAATGGTTTCACGACCAATTACAATGTATTTGTACATGGTTTCACGACCAATTACAGCATATTTGTACATGGTTTCACGACCAATTACAACATATTTGTACATGGTTTCACGACCAATTACAACATATTTGTACATGATTTCACGACCAATTACAGCATATAAGTACATGGTTTCACGGCCAATTACAACATATTTGTCGATGGTTTCACGACCAATTACAACATATTTGTACATGGTTTCACGACCAATTACAACATATTTGTACATGGTTTCACGACCAATTACAACATATTTGTACATGGTTTCATGACCAATTACAACATATTTGTACATGGTTTCTATCAGGAATGAACTGATTGATTTTCAATTGTAGTAAGAAGCGACGCATTCTGCTGTTAACGTGCTCTGATGCGATCAGGTATGAATATTTCTAGTTTGAAAAGTAATGGACCAAACTGGATTTGTGGACGGCTTTTACACCGATAATGTAAATATGTAGATGCGAAGATTTTTGATACTTGTAAGTAAAATCAACTCGCATCAATTTCAGAATAAGATGAATCAATCTGGAAAATTGTCATTACAGCATCTCCATGACCACTTCGTAGGACTGGACCTTTAGGCAAACTATTACGGTAAAATACTGAGACAATTACAGTACATTTTATCGACATATTGCAAAATAACCTTTTACTTAATTCCCGTGTGGCTGTTAAAACACGTTCGGACTTGCCTAAGAGACCTTCTCTTTTCAAAATGGACGAGTTAAATTATATCAACAGTGACATACCAAGCCTGGCTGTTACGTCAGCTGTTACAGTATTGGATCAACCTTAGTATCAGCAATAGAAAATTAAATCCAAGACATTGAAAAGGATTTACTATAACGTGTCGCGGCAGACTGTCTGGTTCCATGAGATTAACGAGTAGCTTCTATAGACGTTTATCACCGTCTTTATCTTACGATAGGGTGAATCCTTAATTGATCATTGTAGACATTATGACTCATATCTGATGTGTAGTTTCAAAGAAAACTGTAAGAAAAAATCTTTTTCACACTCCAATTCGATGAACGAAGATAAAAAATATGAACAAAGTTAAGATTTACACAAGGTCTATTGAAAATGCTTCACGGAAGACAGAAGCAATTTCATGCTGAACAAAGACAGATTAATACGACACAACTATGTATGTAACTGGGTATAGAACTCATCTAACTTCATGTCCCTCAATGTCTTCCCAACACCCCCGTAACCATGTATTGTAAAGATATAATTCAGTTGTCGAAATATTAAAAACTGAAGGTGAAGAATGCGGAATGACATTATATAGAAACGGTTAATTCAAAAGAAAAAAAATATCAAATGTCTTAGTCGGATGTCGCGCTCAGAAATACCAATGATTAAGTTCATATTGCGAAAATTTCTTTTCATTTATGTCATTTGCATATTTTGACTATAAATAGTCCGTATTTACATATTCGCATTACTTGAACCGTTATATTCTCCGAAAAGGCTATAATAACGTATGATACATTAAGTTCTGAATCATATTGCGAACATTTCTAAGGCATATTTTTGCAATCGTATGAACTACTTTCATTTTTCAAAATAAACTCATTTTTCATACAAGACATATGATGTACATGCACATCATATCAATGTTTTAAAATTATACCGATATTTTCAGGTGAAAATGACGTTTGCTGATGTTTTACTAATTTTCAACCAATCATAACACAATATTTGCAGTGAAAATATCAATTTCTTTTCTCCAAGAATACAGGAACGACAAATACACCCGGATACTCACGCCAATCTAAATGTGACAATTAGAGTGATATATATATACATATGAACTTTATTTCAATCATTTTGAGACTTGTATCTTAACTAAGAAAGTACCGTATATTAACTACCTAAGTAAGGATAAAACAATGCACAGATAGACAGCGAGGCAAAATTCAAAATGGCGTCAATAAAAGTTGAGAAAGTTTTTTTTTAGCTAAAAAAAAAAAAAAATAAAAAAATAAAACATGAGAATAGAATATTGATTTTGTAGTCATCTAAGAAAAAAATATAACTGTTATTTATCAAGAAACAAATAATATCAGCTATATAATCAAACATGATATATTTCTCAATATAAAATTGCAAAAGTTTCATTTCGATTTTTAAAGTGTAAATTACGCATAACGTATATCTGCGTAGCGGTATACGGATGTTTTATATACATATATAAGGACTAACTCATTAGTTGTGAACCAAATATTTTAGGGTTTGACTTTTGAGGGACACAAGTTTTCAACATAATCCCCTTCAGTACCTACACAATTTTTCCAGCGATATTTAATAGCCTCAACGCCACTTTTAAGGACGTCCTGTTCTTGACAGTTAATACAGTCCTCCATTGCATGCATGACGTCATCATCTGACTGAAAGTGGGTACCGAAAATGGCCTTTCTCAATTTCTAAATAGATAAAAGTCTGATGGAGCGAGATCACGCGAATAAGGCAGATGCTTAATCAATTAAACCACCATCGGTTATGGCAGCCATGGCAATGACAGACTTATGTATTGTCCTGGTGGAACAACACACCTTTACTGAGTTTTCCACGGCACCTGTGTTTAATATTTTCTCTTAACTGCCTGAGAAGTGATGCATAATATGTACCATTGATTGTTTGTCCCTTTTGCAGATTATCTACCATTAGAATACCATCAGCATCCCAGAAAACCCGAGGCCATAATCTTTCAAGCTGATGGATTAGTCTTTGCCTTCTATGGCGGGGGTTAATCAGGGTGCTTCCATTGTTTAGAATGTTGTTTGGCCTCTGGGGTAAAATATTACAGGTAATGTATATAAAAATTGCAATAGTCCTCTTTCAACTTAATCAATAGTTAGATACGACACGCACATAAAACTGCGTTTCATAATAAAATTATTTATCTCGCTTAGCAAACTCTACAAAACAGAGACACCAAATTGGATTACTCTGAAAAAAGTAAAACAATGCGAGCATATTCCGTTAGGCAATATTGTTTTCTATTCAAAACGCTGATAATAAAACGCCATAATATTTCTTAATAAAAACTGACATTCTGTGGAAAGGATAGGTTTGTCACCAAAAGCAGTATTATTGTCGATTCGTCATTTACAAGGACATTTCATTTAAAAAACGACATGTGCCAATTCATGACGTTAAACACACATAAAGACATGCATTTAGATTGAATGTGTGATCGTTGCAGTGTTTAACTAGGAAATGGTTCGGGGAACTTTTACAGGATTTCATAAATACGAAACAATGATGATCCTCAAGCACCGAAAGCTGTCAATTTCTTTATTTCCCGGATGTCCTAGCTGTTCCATTAACTTGATGTGCGCTGTCATATGTCAATGGGGACTCAGCAGTTTTCGTCCTTTCTTGTCGCTTGTCTCTGACAAGATCTTTCGCTACAGACCGTTCGGCTACTTGATGAGTATTCACCGTAACACGGCTTTCATGATTGAATGCATTATCACCCAACGTGCCAACATCTTTCCTCAGCTGTCTGCTCAAGAAGAACTGACCCCGCAGGTTCGTTATGAGGAATTGTCTACTAAATAGATTTCATAGAATTCTTCACGACTGAGACGCGAAATACATGTATTGTATTCCACTTATAAGATTTTGGGGCTCAAATTGGGTAAACTAAAACACTTCGTTTAACGATAAGAGACATTGATTTTGTTTATTCGTCGCCATGACTGTATGAAGAAAACCCATTAGTGTTATCAGAGCTATGACATTTGCCTAATTGGATGTTTAGTAAATATCCCATATACCATAGAGAACGTATTTGTTTTATAGAGGCGGCAGACATTTGCCTAATTGCGTGATTCGCTGAAAAAAATCCTAATCCAAGATACGATGGCTCATAGCAGCAAAGCATAAAAACGTGAATTGGTTATAATCTTAAATTAAAAAATTAATCATAGGCTAATGAACAGCAACCTGAATACAAGTACACACAGTCATGATAGAATGGTTACAATGTTGACATTAGACCTTGTTTAAAACGATAATCACATTTTGTCGTTTTATCATGTGTCTCATGTACAATTGTATGTAAGAGTTACAATTTATGGTACAACTTTATGTCATAATTGCAATTCAATGTACAACCTTATGTCATAATTGCAATTTATGAAAGAGCTTCATTAAAGCCCAAGTAATAGATTGAGGTTGTATAAGTGACAGTGCAGTAGGTATGAAACAAAAATTACTTGTAGAACTACCAATGCCTTGTTCAACTTTGTCTCCATCTACCAGTATTACAGTAATATTGACTCTTCATGGCACAGATATGTTGCGATTCCGTTTGATCTTTAAAAGGATTTTTATGAATGCTCATTATCTCTTTTAATGTCTTTTCTTCTTCATTGGAATTGTCAGTTTAGATAAGAAGGCGCTCTATTTATCTTTTATATTCTGATCCTTCAAACATTTCTAATTACATGGGAGTGGGAATGTTTGAATTGAAATAGTTAGATTAACATTGTAGGCTTGGTCGCAATTTGTAACGTAATCAAGCATTTTTATATAAGGTTACAATAAATAAGAGTGTGTGAATGACAAATCAAATAGGCGTCTTCTCAAGGTGTTATTTCACCGAGAAAGAGTTAAATCAATAGAATTAATGTTATCAAAAATATTAAGGTATTGAGGAACATCGCAATGTTATAATTCATGTTTTAAATTTACTTTGTAATTAGTAAATTAAGTTGATTGCTCCTTGCAAGTTGTATTAACAGTTATTTATCTAACTTATACCTCGAAAATAAACGATCATTTTCATCAGACTTACTCTTCGAACACGGAAGAAAAATATCATGATTTCAGAAACCTTAACAGCTAGAGATAATTAACAGATTCTGATACTGTAGATTAGAGAAAAATCTATTATCCCGTAAAACAGAATTAATTAAAAATAGCATTTTTATTAATGTGGATGTAGTGTTTCATACAACATGTGTCAATATAATGTATATTTTTTTCAGTGTGATCCTTTTTTCTTAACAGACCTGGCTGTATCAAAACATAAGCGACTTTTAGTCGAGTATGAAAGCCTTGAAATCAGGCATTACTGACCTACTCTATTATTCATGTATATTGTAATTATCCTTATATCCTGAGCTATTTCACACCAATACATACATACACTTGTATCAGGTCAAAGACAGCTTTTCATTTGCATCTTTCATACCTTGGCTAAAGTTCCCAAACACTCGCAAGGCAATATCAACCTGACGACATTCAGACATAATTGTTTCAAATGAATATCTGGTGTTCCGCGACGAATTCCAAACAAATAAAATTTGATATCGTTTCCGAAACAAAATATATCCTGAAGCCTCAGGATACCGCTGTTATGGAGAGTTGTGCGGTAGCCATTCTCAGCGGAGATCACAGATTTAATTCCTGTCAGCATCAGTGAAATTAAATGTATTTCTCCAAATAACGAGGTGCCAGAATTTAAATCAATTATTTGTTGCACGGAGATAAGGCTCTTTTATTTTCTAGATATATAACACTATTTCGCCCGCCTCAGTTGAGATCATATTCGTGAATCCCAGTCTGTGACTGAGACAATTTTATGTTTCAGAAATTCCACAGAAACATTCAACTTTTCAATACAAGATAAGACAATAATTCTCTGTCTTTTACCTACAAAAAGGCATCCCATAGCCTTTATTTGGAAAATGCTATCACTTACAGAAAGTCATTTTTTCATGTACCGTAATCATTAAAACACGCCATCCATAATGTCACAGAGTTTATATACAATCCAAGACTGTATTTAGATCCATATTACCGACTTAATTTTTTACGATATATTTGTGGTAGCAAAATTTCACCACCTTGTGATGTCGAAGGAAAAATCTCAATTTCTAGGATTAGATAATTTAAGCTCTTTGCTTATGAAATAGCCCCATCCTCAACTTAGAACATCTTATCATGACTGTTGATATATCACTGAAATGATATTTGTAATGCCGTTATAGAAATGTAATAATTTTGGTTGTTCGCTTTACCTGATTCTGTCTGGCGCTGGAGGGCGCACTTGTAGTAAGGACTGCCGTCACCGCATTTCTTCGCCTTGAACTGATACGCTTTGAAGTACTTGCCACAAGCTGGATTAACACCATTTTCACACTCGTAGCAACGGATGCTGGACACTGTTGAAAGTCAAAATATAAATAATGTGTAAGTAAAGCTACAAAAAATCAATTATGTATAACGTCGGGGAATTAATATAACCAATAAATATTGTCAATTATTTAATATATCGTTTTTTAAGAATAGAATAAATGGTTCACGCCTTATAAAATCTATCAAAAACAAAGGATTATGAAAATAACGTGAAATGTGAAACAAGTAAATAAGTAAATACCAATTCGCCAATGAATGCAATATGTGCAGGCTGATGAAAACGTATATTGCATCTCTTTTACATTTCGAAAGATCTTGTATTAACGCTAGAGACCCAAAGTGTTAGAATCTAATGAAAAAGTCCAAACGTTAATAAGCATGTAAATGCCGTAGCCTAAACATTCAATCATGTACCATTGCATACTGAAGATTGATTGAAGGAGATCATGTAAAATGAAACATCAAGGTCAATTGGTAATAGCCTTAAGACATTTTTATACCCCTTCCAGCTTTAATGTTTATGATCAGTAATTTGAACCCTAAAAATGCAAGATTGTCAAACATATCCTTGTCTCGAAGAGTGCTTTATCTGTATAAGTGATATGTCAATTTAAAATTTAACATCGTTTTTGTTGAAAAAATTACTATTAAAACTGCATGCAATATTGTTTTTATCTGTTATGGAGTTAATATGCAAATAGTGACAAAAAATTCTTCCATTTATAACAAAACATTTTGCTTTAAATCTGCAATTGCGTGGGTTGTTGACTATTAAAGAGGAACAACGAAAAGAAACACAAAGTTAAGACCGACATTAAACATATTCAAAATAATGTCATTAGGACATGATTCAATATGACACCGGCTTACTTGCTATCTAATGATACTATTAAGATTTAGAGAAATGCCTCGGCTCTGTCAGAACTGGCGACAGGTCTCTAAGGGTCGTAATTAAGTCGTGATGCACTTCTGTTTGAGCATCATTCTAACTGCAACCTTCTGTCAAAAAGTCCATAGATTGGCGACATTTGCTCAACATTTACTGTGTAGGATTAGCTTAATTTATTGGATGGGGTGTTCAGCTTGCATATTGAAATCATTCATTGCCTTGTAATTGTCAGCAGCTAAAATAGTAATAAGCTCTGTGTTTTATGGCTTTTAATGTATGATACATGAGGTGGTCGCAAACGGCCCTACATAATTTCTTTATTTAAATGGATCTGAACGAGTTCTACGTTGATTTTTCCTATTTTTATTTCTTTGATTTTTTAAATTATCACTATCTAGAGTGGCTCCATTCAATCATAAAAAAATCTACTTGTTAGTTTAACCTTGCTATTTGTTTTTAAAAAATCGTGATATTATTATTCTATGAAAAATAAAGCTATAAACATGAACTTCATATATTTTACCTGTCTATATGCAATACGTTATCTTTTAAACATACTATGATTGTTAATTTCCACTTTTTCCTGTTTTAGTAGATTTCGTTGGCACTCTAGTTTCACGCATTATTTGTTAAAATCTATTTAACTTGTTTTAATTCTATTCTTTTATTTATATTTACGAGCGGAATCAAGAGTTCGGTTTTTTTGAAAAGCCAAAAAGATTGAACGCCACCAAAATATATGATTCTTCACTTTCTTTTTACTGAAATTGCTAACAAGTATTCTTCTCCGTTGTTTTTACCTCTTCCTTATTTCTACGATTTTAATTTCAAATCAAGACCTAGTTGGCAAGTCGTTATTTTCTTGAGTGTTTATCATGATTTCTATATCGAAATATAATGAGTGTTTTAATGAATGCTTGTCCATGTATGAAAAGCAGTAAATTTGTGACGTCAATATCAGCTGATATCTCTTTGATGGACCTCTCGCGTTCCTTTTCGCAAGACAAATCTTCAGACCTATTCACACATCTAGGCGCAGACCAGTTTCTGAACTAAGTCGTTCATCTTAATCCAGTTCATTACCAAATGCTTGGGAACTGTACATTGTCACCAAATGTTGGCTTTTCATAATAATAATTGATTTTAAAGTTCCGTGACAGAAACAACAAGAACATGCCAAAATGTCAATCATAATTCAAACTCAAGTTCAATGATATAAGGGGATATATGAACAAAAGAGAGACCCTTGAAAAAGTACAAGGAAAATTAGATCAAATCTTCAGAAAGAGTAAACCTCTTCGGCTTCACAACGACATCCGCCATGTAAATTTTAATCAATTTAAGAAGGTCACGTCACGTTCGAAAATGAGAAGACGGCAAACAGTAACGAAAACAACAGGTATATTTACAAGTATCAAACGCGCCTAACTTCATATCGCATAAAAATGTAATATTTTTAAATGACTTATTACACATTGAAAACATCACGCTTATCATACAGGTTGGTAAAAAGCTGTCCCTGTGGATATCATTGTAGGCAAAGAGCGAGATAAGCGAATGTCGCTGATGAATCTTTCGGGTCCTTGATTATCAATACAGGTGAGTTTCTATAGTCTTAATACTAAAGACAATACATCAATATAAGATGGACGGCTTTCAACCTTTTATGAAAAGAATGACAATTCAATCAAAGGAGGGGCACACACGCTATTACAATAGTCCGATAAAAAATCTGTCAAGCAGAAATTCAAACTTCTATCATTTCATCAGTTTCTTCTGTCGTATATTTCTTCTTTGCTTTTGAGCTATTTTTCACAAAATACCCTTCTTCGTAGTTTACATACATCTTTAACATCGGCCACCCTTGTTCTAAAACAAAACTCTAATAACAAGAGAACGAAGACGTTTCTTCAGTTTGGAGTGGAAAAATCAAAAGTTCTCATCAAATATATTCTGTCAGAAATGAAAATGTAATGGTGGACATGATTGCCAAAAAAAATATCGCTAATGTTTCAATTCCAGACAAAACTAAAAGAAAACTAATGATTTAAAAGTTATCTGTATATATAGAGAACACGATATTATCAAAGTCGCACGTGGCATTGACGAAACAGAAGACTTTTACCATTCCGGAATACTTTGTCGCATAACCTTTTTTGAAGGTTATCCGTGTATATCTTTCTTTTGTAAACATTTAATCAATTTGGTTACATATTCTGTAGTGTATCGATCTATTAACAGGTTACATGGCTTTCTGTGACCGAGTTGTTTGCATGAAGGTTGACGGTTAATTGAGTCTGATACTTGACTTTTCAGTCTCGTGCAGAATTTGATAAAAAGCGACCATATGATGTGATTATGCAATATGAATAACGTCGATGGTTTCTTCCTTTTCCATCTTTATTGCCCTAGACATCATTGTCTGATCTCGTATCATGGTTACTATAAAAAACATATCTGTCAAATGCATAATCTATCATAGGCGAGGATGGTTTTATACGGACACCTTTCACCTCGCAAATCCACAATAAAGACCAATAAAATTTAATGCATTTCTCAAAAAAAAAAAATAAAATAAAATAAAAAATAATAATAATGAAAAAAATAATAAAAAAGAAAGCTACAACATTTTATCAAATGTACATGATTCTACGTTATCTGCAATTGCTGTAACAACTATTAATCTATTCGATGTCTTTAAAGCAACTGTCTCTGCTTTTTACCAATTGACAAAAGCAAAACTCAACATATAATTCTGATCCATACGCTATAATGCAGCTCTTGGCTGACAAATAAGTGAGTTATTTTTAGAGTGATAATGAAATACACAGTGACTTCACAGATATATTGTTTACCATTATTGAGTGAGTTAAGATGAGGATTATCAGGTCATCAGTCCGTTACGGAGCTAATATTCTTGATACCCATGTCTGGTACTTTTTTGGCCGACTGCTGGTCCTTATTTTGACGGACAAACGCGTTACACAGGGGTTCAAAAGATTTTATGGTCACCATAGTGAATTCTTTTTTGTGTGATATGAAACTGGTCGTGTGTGATGATCGTTTGTTTGTCTCGGCTCCGTTGTAGTATACCTTGTTCCCTTTTGAGAACGTGGCATTACTTACTTGGATTTACCAAGATTTCCATGGCGGATGTCGCCAATGAAACATTTGACGCTTGATCTTCCGGTCTTATTCTTCATGTACCTTTTCACAAGTCTCCGTGTGAATCTTTCTTTTGTTTAGATTTTGTCCTTTTTTAAGGAATTTGAGTTTGGATTTTGATTATGTTGCCATGTTGGTGTTTTCTTGATTTTTTAAGAACAACATATTGATTTAACCTAGAATTACGCTTTGGCTTAGATCGGTTAACGGCTGTTCCTGGAGACCATCTAGCCTTGTTCAGTAGAATACATGAAGCTCTATGTCAGTAGAACAGATATCAAAGAGGCGAAGGATAACCTACGTATAATCAAAGTGGAGTAACACGAGATTACTATAATGGATGACCCATATCTCTCAACGATCTACCAAAGCTGCAGTTTCTCATCAGATATCAAAGCTACTCAATGCCTGAGATCTGATTAAGGTGTGACAGGGCTTCACACACCCAAGGCCATACGCAGAAATGATCATGCTAAGATAAGACTTTTTTATGATAGATGTGCTGGTTTAGTCTTCAACACGAAACAGTTGAATTAAAATATTTCACAAATTAAACATTTCCTTTGAATAACATTATCGACAACATTCTTTGTCTCATATTGAACTATCCAATTTCGAGACAACTCAAAATTTCGAAATTAAATCTCGTTACTTTTAACCAAATATGTAATACATTAGGCAGCAACACGTTTTCATACATCAGCGTATACTGACTTCATCGAAAAATGGATAAATGTACCGATTGACAGTACAAATGCATCTGCAGAAATAGTTCAAGATATTAAAGTTTAAGTCTTGCCGTCAAATGTTGAATTTGATGACGTTAACAAATACATTTGGAATATATATATTTATTCATATTTACGGTGAGAGGATGCTTTTGATGTGTTTATACACTCCAAACCAAGTCGTTATGTACATGTGCAATGAGGTTCTAAGTGGAATGGAAAGACATCACATTGACCTAATTGT